ATGATACTGTGCTGGGGAAGACTGAACATGTTTTTCTGGAATTGTTTCCTAGCCCAAGGAAGTTATACAGCTTATTATGTTGTTCCCATCCCAGGATAATTATGCAGAAGGTTCTGTGGTGGTTTGGTTTTGGTTTGGTTTGGGGTGTTTTGTTTTGGGTTTGATTTTTTCTTTCGCATCATTGCTTTTTGTTTGAGAGAGACCGATGTGCGTATACAAAATTTCTTCTGGCTGTTTGCAAAAGAGACACATCCCGCATGCAAGACCACTGGTTTGTAGACAGGCACTAAATATTAGACTGCAGAAAGTTTTTAAGCTTTCAGAGGATACTAGCTGCACTACCACTCACTGAATGCTATCAAAATAACATGATACCTATCTAGATTTTTTTTTTTTTTAAATATGTAGCATAGTAATGTATGTAACATAGTAAGCTATGTTATTTTGACCCCAGGCAGGAATGTCTTTTTGTAAGCTATGTTGGAGGTTTGGGGGACAGATTCTTCTTGATCAGTTGAAACACTATACGAAGAGTGTTACAGTTTTGTACAGAGAGGAAGTGAGGTGAAGGAGGGGTGTAAAGAGAGGTGTCTTCCAGCTTTCCATTCTCAAGCTTTCTGTCTAAGCAAAACAGGATTCCCAGGCTGAAAGACAGAGAAGCATAATTTTGGTTACATGGCAGTGGCTGCAGCAGGGCTTTGCAGGAGTAGCAGGTTCTGCTGCAGCTCCGGACATTTTGCCAGGCAGAGGTGGATTATAGAGCCTCTGCAACGAAAAGCCCAGCCACATACACTTACCCAAACTGGGACTCTTCCTGGCGCTTTTGTGGGATGCAAAGTTTGCAAAAGCCTGGAGCAGGCTGCTAACTTCCCAGAGTTGTTTTGATCTTCATTGAGTCTTTCCAAAGGAAACTTCAGGAAGGAACAAACGCCTGCATGTTCAGCCCAAAGCCCCGTACCTTGGAAGCAGGTATGTGAGCAGCTTTGCTGCTACAAGGCGCAGCCTGATCTTGCAATAAACTCATCTGCAAATGAAGTGGCAGATGGCTGAACTACTGCACCTGAAGAGCCGCTCTCTGTGCCCCTTAGTGTTGGAATGCCTGACAGCTGTGAAGAAGGGAAAGCTGCCGAGATGTTGCGCTGGACAACCTACATGCACGGTGCCAATGTTTCAGCAGCTTTTGCTTTGGGCAAAAGGAGAGTGCTTACTTCACTATCAGAAAATCAACATTTCTCGCAGGTCAGTGCTTCGCTCTGAAGTCCCATTAAGCATGAAGTTGCCTATCCCACATGGTTTAGATAGCTGTGGTGAATGAATGCTAATGAGTAATGTTGATGGCGATTTAAATCCATTTAGGGGGAACTCAGTAACCATTCTGTCATACCTCCTGGAAAACAAAAAACATGCATCTTTTGCATCCCATGGGCACAGAACAAACCTGTGTCCCCTTCCGAGTAGGAAGATCCTCTAAGCCTGCTTCACACGAGAGCGCCAGTGTGGAATAAGGAGCTGGATGAGAAGTCCCTGTAGGTTTTACAGCTACACAGGCATCATTTCACAGGTTGAAGCCAAGATGCACTTACCTTTCAGCATGTAGTTTTCCTTTTAAGTATACTGAAATTGCTGTTATGTTCCAAAATAAGGTGCAGCTCAGTAAGTCTCCACAACTGAGCAGAAATCTAAAGCTTCCAATTTCCTTCAGTTAAAAGCTGACAGCACACGTATTGCGTGTTTTCTTGCTTTTCTTTATATGAAACCCTCCATCCACAGCAATCTTCCTGTATGTTTACTCCTAGCTTGACTTTATCTCTTCCAGTATTGCCTAATCAAGGTGCAAACTGCACTGCACATTGAAAATAATTTCTGTCCCACTTTATCCTTTGTGACTCCAATCTCTGACACTTTGTACATGCCTGTTTGTAGGAAAGCGTTTCCTATTCTTCACAATACCTATTTCCCTGACAGAGCTGATAAAACCCAATAGACTAAAAAAAAGAAATCAGATCTGAACGATCATGTTTTTAACTGTAATGCAAAGAATAATACTTAGAAAATAAAGAACATTTGCAATACTTTAAAAATTAAGTCCTAGGATGTTTCATATGCAAAACAGACAAAAAAATTTTCCATGCTCAAAGATTAACCTACAATTGCACACGTTGTCCTTCAGCAACTGCACTACCCATAAGCATCCAGTTGTCTCAACTATATGCATGTATATCCAATTAATCCTTACATCTATATGTATTCACCTCTAACTCTTTATGCATATACTCACCTACAAAAGATCCAAAAATTAATCTGACAAATGCAGGACTTTGCACTGAAATTATATGCACATATGTGTATAATACTTAATATGCTTATTGCAGTTGTACATCTAAGTTTGAACTATTTCTGTACATATACAAAGATGATATAAGACATCTCTTCAGGTTTCTTCAGCAAGGACAGCAATTGCATTGTATGAGAAGAGGGCTACAAATTATTTTAATATGCCTGTCCCATCCTTGGCAATTCCCAGTTTTTGTGTATTACTAAAACTGGGAGTTCTGAAAAGGGATGACATTTGTGGTGTTCTTGCACATGAGGATGGCAGGGAGAGGAGAAAAGATAGGTTGAATTGAAACGGGAAAGACACCTGTTGATTGTTCTCTTCTTGCTGCAAGCAGACAAAGCCAAAATTATTCTCTCTCCGATAGCATTTGCTCAGAGGAAAACTATTTTGATTATTTTTCAGAAGTTATGCCACTTCAGTTTACTGAGTAATTTTTCCCATGGGAGTTTAATTTTAAAATGGTTGACACATCATAACAGGCTAAATACAACTCAGCACACGGACATTAGTCAAAACACTTGTTCTTACTAAAATTTCTTTAAAAGAGACAAAGGGGGCATAGTACCCCAGACTGAAAGACAGACTGAAAGACTTACCTCCAGCATCTTTCAGTTTACATTAATCTGATTATTTTAGTTAAACCTGATGGCATCTCTTAGCATCAATAAATCTAACTATTCTTGCTAGTCCCTAAAGAGCAGCTACTTGGATGGTCAAGATGAGAGCAGCGTGACAGAGGGTCAACTGCAGAAATCGAGAATGTGCCTTTCCTCCCCTCTTCAATTTACAGACCGAATGAAAGCGGTGTGGCAATGGGATTCTGGGAGCTCTTGATATAAGAGAGAGGAGAATCCAGGCCTGCTCCATCAGAGAGAAAGTACCTTTCCTTACTGCTTAGTTCCTTCCATTTTCAAATGAATGTTCCTTTGTATCACCCAGAACAATGACTAATTCTTTCGTAAAACAAAGGTTTGGAAGGAAAACTTAATATGCAAGTTAGTGTTTCTATAAAGGTCAACATACCAGCTATTTTAGCTACAAGTAACCGAGTTATTCACAGACAAGGTAAACCAGCAATTTTCAAGGTGTGGTCAACAGATTCCTGGCAGATCTTCACTACACTGCACTACAGGCAGCACTTAAAACTTCCGTATGAAGAACGGCGGCACACCACGTACCTGTTCCTGTCTGCAGCTTTTAAATCATGTTTTTAAAAACACACTTCCCCCCCCCCCCCAGTTATTACCATGCAAACAATTGTTGTGGTAACATTACAAATGATACATAATAAAGAAAAGGTCCATGCAAGGACTTCAACCATTTAAGATCCCTCCCACAGAGATAAATATTGTATCTTATAGCTGGATTACGATTTACTGCCCGAGGCAGAAAGTTGAGCAGTTACGGAAAGGATTAAGTTTAAACAGTAGAGTTGCTAAGGAATACTTCGACATCATGAAATAAGACAAAACATGAAGAGCAAGAGTTAGATTTAATCATTAATTAAACTATTACTGAACCCAGCTCTTACACTTCTTTTCTTTCTCATAATTAAGGAAAACATCGGGTTTAGGTAATTGGTAGTATATTTAAACAAAAATATATGCATTGCACAAGGATAAAAGCAACACTGAAATTGCAAAGATTTTCATTTCATGTAAGAAATTACAATGATGCATTAGTGGAAAAGTGTAAATGGGAATATTTTAGTAGTCAAAATAAATATTTAATAAAAACCACACACCCATGACAAAGTATCAAAACAACAGAACTTAGTATTTGGAAGGATACTATCTACATTTCCTTGTGTTAAACATTGCTAAATCCAGTGGCTTAATTATTATCACACTGCCTTCAGCAAACATTGCTTATATAGTGTTGTAAAAAGTCATAAGAATAGAAATACTGTTCCAATGACAGAAATAGTAAAGCCAGTTTGCTATAAACAAGGAAGAATTTAATACACCAGGAGTCAATCCACAGCCACTGATTTCAAAGCCAACAAGGACTACTGCATAGCATACTGGTTACTGTACCAAAAGTGCATTTATCAGCATTCAATGAACTGGGGAAAAATTGAGAAACCCACCCTTTTTTATATAATTTTTAAAAACAACCGGATGATTTACAGTTGAAGAAAAAACACACATTTCCTTTAAAAGTAAAAGCATAGTCTAAAGATCTTAAGAGCACCGTAGGATTTCTATCAGGTAAAACAGTACAAACCATTAGCATTGTAAGTAAAGAACAATTAAAAGGTTATTATATCATTCCATATTTAGAACACAACTGAAAATTTTAGTGTGTTGTTGCATCCTCCTATACTACAACCAGTGGCATTTTGAAGACTTTTTGTTACGTTCTGGAATCAAATAATGCAAAGAAAAATTCTTTTTCATGTATAGCAGAAGTCTAGACAGATTTAAACTGATGATGTGTAAACTGAAATGTAGATAATGGTAATACAAACAGATTTATATCGGGGAAAGCAGCAGTGTCTGGCTTACCCCATTAATTCTTCATTCAGTTCTTTCACTGATTCTTTGAAAGTAGTGTTACTGAATATCCCTGACTACCAATGATTTTTATGAGTGCTATTTTCTCACAATTAGGATTTTGCATTTAAGATTATTCTCAACCCTTCATCCTTCGATTCCCACCCATCCCCCACATCATATTTAAAAGTTGCAGTTTTCTCACATAAAGCATTGTAATGCCTTTTGCTGTTTGCTAAGTGATACGCAGCCAACATTATTTTTAATTTCAAAGCACTGAGACCACTTTCCAGTTGGATCACATGTCAAACAATAATTAAAAATAGTATTCTCCCCTTATTCTATTGTGACATGATAAAGACTATTCACCATTTAATATACGTTCAATCTCTTCTAGTCTTTTCAAAGCAGCAACTCTCTTTTTCTCAATGTCTTTGATTTCTTTTGTAGATTTTTTGGGAGTCTCTTTGTCCATATTGGTTTTCTCTGTTCGTTTCTTATTTTTTGAGTGCCCTTTATTGTTATCAACTGTTGTTTGGGTGGTTTTCTGCTCATTTTTTACTTCTTTCAAATTTTGAATTTTTTTTTTTTCTTCTGCAGCTGCAGTCCCGTCTGCTGGAAGTGATGACTGTTCCGTAGCACTCAGTGATGCAATTTTACTTCTAACTATGCTTAGATGACGCTGAATATAGTCTTCATGAGGTGCCAGTGCTAGCGTTTCAACCAAACATTTTTCCGCTTTTCTTAAGTCTCGTTCTTCGAAGTAAACCACACAAAGATTATGTTTTCCTTGTACATTTTTGGGATCCAGTTCCAAAATTTTTTCAAAACACATTTTTGCTCCAACGATATCCTTCTTTTGGTTCATAAGGATATCTCCTTTCAAAATCAGACCTTTGGTATGATCAGGGTAGTATCTCAGCAGGTCTTCCAGGACAGGCAAAGCCATCAATTCTTTTCCTGTCTGAGAATAAAGCAGTGCCAAATTGAACAAAGCACTTCGGAAGTTTGGTTGTAACCTTATGGCTTTCTTCATCCATGCCTCTGCTTCCATATCTTTTTTGTCATCCATTGCCAGCATGCCCAAATTGAAGTACCCATTTGCATCCTGTGGTTCTTCTTTCACATAATGTAGCAGTCTTTGTTTAGCTTCAGGTCTAAGCCGAGCATCACCTAAATGACAGAAAACACATTTAATTCCAGATTTATTGTGAAGGATTTTTACACCAGGCCTGTAAAATACTAAATTTTATACAAATTAAAATGTAACATCTTTAACACAACTGTTTAAAGGGAAAGGGTTTAAAATGCTACTTTCTATTGTTGCTGTGTAACAGCAAAAGTAAATGACATCTACCTTCTTTATAGAATGAAATACTTACAGTTGACTTGTAGCCAAAGTCAGCATCATTATTCTATTATCTGTTGAATTATATTTAGGTTTGGTTTAACAGATACAAAAGGTGTCTCTACAAGTTTAAGAGAAGTTATTTTCATTTACTGTAGAGCAACTGGAATGCAGAGATGATGTCAGTTCTGACAAACCAGCTCTTACAGAGGCCAGCTTGGGAGTGGAAGATCTCATTTTGTTAGATTGAAAAGAGTTTAAAGACAGAGATCACATAGGGTGACTTCAGATGTAGCCAGGCTAAAATATCTTCTCACACCAAAACAATAAAATCTGTAACTCCCATATTTTAATTTGCATCAAAGTTTGAAAAAGATATAGTAAAATAATCTTATCTGACAATACCATGATTAGCTAAACTAGCTTGTGGTCTGTGCTATTTTTCTGAATGCTCCAGTGAACATATTTTAGTAAGGAATTCCAGGCACAGACTTACTGAAAGATGGGGGAGCCAGGAGCTGGTTTTAACTGCCTTCTTTCACCTCCTGAAACAGTGCTGCACCTTCCAGTATGAAGGTGAATTGAATACTAGATAGCTAATGCTTCTGCTTGTTTGAAGCCCCTTGTGCTTCTACAGACAAGAAACAAGGCATTCCTTGTACTACCTAACTTACAATGTGAGAAGAGATGGAGTATAATCCATTTGCATCAGTTCCAATCAACTCTGCATTACCTCTTTCTTAGGGGTAGCTTACCATCCCAACAAAAGGGAAACAAACCTTACTAGTCACTTGCCAAATACTCTTTGCAACAGCCTGAATTCACAAAAGACTTATGCTTACGCATACAACTAGAAGCTATACATATGAAAAAAATAAACTCATGAAAGTCCAACTTAATTCATACTAATTAGCAGTATTACAGAGGAACCTATGAAAACATTCACATCTCCTAGGGCTAGATTTAAAGCCCACAGAAGTCAGCTATATTTTTTAGTAAATGAAGAATGAAATCAATCAATATAAATGCAAAACATAGATATTACACATTTTACTAAATATGATTTTTTTAAGATTATATAGGCACAATTTTGAAGATGTTTTTGTAACACTTCTTTATATGTATAAGATGTTATATTGTAAAATAGCACTTGTATGAAAGATGTTGATCAGCTAAGGTATATGTACATTTTGCACAAATTCCATACGCTACCAATAAATTACAAAGCTCACTATTATAATAACCAGTTTCTTCTTTGATAATGTTATGAACTTCTGCTTTCCAAAAATAAAACAGTTCATTAAAAAGAAGTTAAATAATATGGATCTATAAATGCAAATATATGATATTTATATAAGGGACAACTAACATACCAGATTCCTGCATTAGCAGTGCTGAGTTGAATAATGCCAGTTTATGTGTTGGGTTGAGTTCTAGCGCTCGGTTGAAATTCTTCAGGGCTTCTGCTGGATCTTTCAGTTCAATGTAAACAATTGCCAAGTTGTACCACAGGTCTGCATTGGTTCTGTCTAGTTCTAGAGCTCTAAGATAAGCTTCCTTAGCTTTCAGAGGTTTGTTCATTTTCAAAAGTAATTCTCCCCTGTTGAAGAATAAGATTTAATCTTCAACTTTTATTCATACTAATATGAAAATAATTGACAGTTTTTTTTGAAATTTGCCTTCCTATAGACAGTAGATGTGAGATAACAGCATTTTTTCTTTTTGTTTGTTTGTTTTAAACACAAAACAATACAGGGCCTTCTTTACATACCATTCCCAAAGCTTTCAGCTCTCAAAAGTCTGTATACAACAAATGCAGATGCAGGACAAAAATAAAAAAAAAAGTGATCAAGGGTTCCTGATATTGGCTCTGTAATTACACTGCAACAGCTATAGTTAAGGCATCTTTGCACCTCCCTAAGTCCCAATGGGAATCACAACTAGTAAAACCGTGAACAGAAGCCTCAATACCCATGACCACATTACTCTTAACTGAAAATCACATAAATGTCAGCTAAATAGATAAGTCTTGCATGTTCTGGACCACTTTTAACAAAGAAGGATAAAGAAAGCTCCATGATTCAGACTAACCAAAAGCTTTTTAGTTCAAAACTAAACTAGGAGATTAGAAATTTGAGTTTGAGATTCATAAAGAAATCTGATGGAAGCATCTTGCTATACAATGTTTGAATACACAGCCTATGTGGAAACACACCATTTGAAGGAGGAATTTAAAAGAACAGGGCTTGTAATGAATAATTGATTATTGCCCCAAATCTTCATCTTCTCATTTAGAAATGAATCAGTTCCAGCAGCTTATTCAACTGTATGAACTAAATACTGTTCATAGCACTGCAAATACATAAATGTTTATTCAAGGATAAGTATCTCTAAAATTAGAAAAGATACCTGCTGATGTAAGCCTGCTTGAAATCTGGCCTCATACTAATTGCTTGTCGATATAATTGATCTGCTTCTTCAAGGCGAGATTCATTTGCTCGAATTAAGTTTGCAAGATTAATATAAACATTCAGATGGTTAGGAGCAACTCTTGCTGCGTACTTTTTACCTGGAATAATCTGTCAAAAAGTGTACAAAAACACAGATGAGTAAAAATAAGAAAGATAATCAGTATAGATCTCTGCCACGTTTGTTTTAGGGTATCACTGGACATTAGTGTGCATGCTTTTAATGATTACAAATAGCAATTCTTCTATCCCTGAAAATCATACCAAAATATAAACAGAGTATTTTTTCTTCTTTAATTCCATGAAGACATAGACGACTTTTATATATTTAAGACATCAGTTAATTAAGCTCTACTACTACCTAATTGGGCTCATGCAGATAGCCATTAGAAAAACCAACCAGCCTTTGCAAAACTTCCCCCATTCAGACAAAGAATATTTTCTAAAACCTAAACTGACATTCTATCAGACATTTTCATTCCTTTTTTTAACCCTCCAGCCTAAGATAAGTGTAAAGAAGATTTTACTGGCCACTAATATAGCAGATGAAAAATAGTTGTGAAAGATGAAAATGTTATGACCTTGCAACTGTAGTACTGTTTATACTTTATCCTTCTAGAATCTTCATACTGTTTCACAATACAAACTTTTTAATGCCATGCTTCTACTGAAGGGACTGATGATTTTTGTTTTAAGTCTCATTTTACCCACAGCTTTTGTTACCTTCATACATTCTTCAAAATACTGCTCTCTTTTTCTCCTAAAGAGCTAGAATAAGTAATATTTTCTATGTATAAATATAACTTAACAAATGTTAAAGGTAACAAAGCACATGTTTTTAAAAGTATGTTCAGGCAAAGATTTTTTTGTTGCTGCTGTGGCTGCCTTCTCCCACCTCCAAAGCTGCATTTAAGCCTTCTGTTGAGGGCTTAGAAACTCAGTCATCATCAATGTATTAGCTGTAAGTGAAAATAAACCCACTGTGACTAGAAACTGTAGGGGTGCATTTTTAACTGCTGCTTTCTTTTATACCCTCAATTTCAGCAAAAAAACCCCACAGCAGTATAAAAAGTAACTTAAAATAGTTTTAACAAAGAAGTTCCAAGTTAGCATTTTTTTTTTTAACAGCGATGATTGTATATAACCTACTCTTTTAAAAGCTAGGTTTAAAAAAAAAAACCCTAAAGTATACAGCAACACAGAGCTTCATGATAGATTTTTCATATTTTTCCTGAATGTAGGTCTGAAAGAGTTCCCTCCTGTGGTGGTAGATAAAAATAAAGCTACTAATTACCTGTGGCATCAATGATTTAGCAATCATATATGATTCTTCGGCTTCTTTAGTTTTGTTTAAGTTTTTGTAAGTTCTTCCTACATTCATGTGGGCACCAATGTCATCTTAATAAAGAAAAGAATGAAATTTCAAATACTTCCATGCACTGAGTATCATGAAAATAAATACCTATGCCTTAAGAGTAGCGTTAAGTACAGGTACTGCATAAAAACCAACAACAAAAAAACCCAATGCTATATTATTTTTCTTCTTGATTATGAGGCTAATAATTTAAGCATGAACCAAAGATGGATTATAAAGTTACTTGGGAAATGGTAAAAAATTTGAGGTGATACTTCCACGTATCTATCTTTAATCTCTTGCTATAGTACAGGCACACAAATTGAAAGTTATTTATTAGGCTTCTAAAAGGAAAAAGGAAAAGTTGTCCAGTACTACCGAGAACTTCTTTTGCAACAGTATGTAAAATAGAGTAAATGTGCACTTTGATACTATCTAGATCTTGTAATTTTTTTATACTCCTCCCTAGTTTTAAATAGGAAAATTAAATAACGTTTCATAAGAAATTACAGTTTAAGTTAATTCAGAAAGAATGTGTCCTGGTTTCGGCTGGTATAGAGTTAATTTTCTTCCTAGTAGCTGGTATAGTGCTGTGTTTTGGATTTAGTATGAGAATAATGTTGATAACACACTAATGTTTTAGTTGTCACTAAGTAGTGCTTACACAAGTCAAGGACTTTTCAGCTTCCCATGCTCTGCCAGGTGCACAAGAAGCTGGGAGGGAGCACAGCCAGGACAGCTGACCCAAACTGGCCAACGGGGTATTCCATACCATATGATGTCATGCTCAGCATATAAAGCTGGGGGAAGAAGGGGGACGTTTGGAGTGATGCTATTCATTTTCCCAAGTAACCATCACACATGATGGAGCCCTACTTTCCTGGAGGTGGCTGAAGACCTGCCTGCCGATGGCAAGTGGTGAATGAATTCCTTGTTTTGCTTTGCTTGTGCGCGCGGCTTTTGCTTTACCTATTAAACTGCCTTTATCCTAGTCCACGAGTTTTCTCACTCTTACCCTCCCAATTCTCTCCCCCATGCCACCGGGGGGGGAGAGAGCGAGCGGCTGTGTGGGGCTTAGTTGCCGGCTGGGGTTAAACTATGACAGAATGTCATCCAAATAATAGTTTTAAATGGAAAGTCTTTGCATCATTTTATAGATAGAAACTTTTCTGGAGGACTTTTTTTGAGTTTATTTCCAAAAACTATGGATTAATTAACTTAGTGTATGACATTGTTTGATGTTCAGTTGGAGAAAAACAGATCATTGAGGAGATTTTGTTAAGTAAGCTAAGCATACTGAAATACTAGGAGTGCAGAGTCACCATTCAATGGCAACTAGTCAAAGTTTTTACCTGGTTGCACTTGCGTGGCTTGTATGAAGAACTGCAGAGCTCTTTCAAAATTCTTTTCATTTTCTAATGCATGCCCCACATTGTTCCATAGTTTTGCATTGTTCTTATTTACCTAAAACCAGGAAAAAAGATACCAATGCATAAGGTATTAAGCTGAAATTACATAACAACTGATTTTCTTTTAACTATGTCTTAAAGATGTAAAAATGCACAAGCTGTTATATGTAAAGAATACTAAAACACTGCATACAGAATGATTACATTGAACTTGTTGCTCAACATTCATTTATTTTAGTTATTTGTCCCTAGAAATACCCAATGTTTTAAAATTCATTATAATTGTTATGGGATGTTGTACAAACTACCCTATCATGCCATATGCACATTGAAGAAATTACTCTATGCATCAAACTTTTTGTAGATTTTTGTACTGAAACAGATCATGCTTTCATTCAGGTAAGAGAATACATTCAACCGCTTTAATACAAGAAAAAATTATCATCTATTTCTTGCATATGAATTCCTATGTGTGCATCACACTGCTTTTAAAGCATTCCCAAAAGCAACTAATTAGATGTTAATACTGTCAATGTAGAAATAAAAATGGCACAACAAGCATCATTTCTCTCCATTTTTATCATGTTCTACTGCAGCTTTTTGAGAAGAACAGCAACACAAACTTCCCAATATCCCTTTCAAATATAATACAGTACCTTCAAAGCTGACATAAACAATGTGTACTCTGACTCCCAATCCCAGTTTCTGTGCAGTGTTTTTAAGGCATGAGTGAACAGTACTGCAGCCAAACAAACCCAAGAAATTTTTCTTAGCACGCTATTAAATAAAACAAAGATTTGTTATAAGCAGATAAACAATTCTAATTTATACTAGAGTAAGTATCTCATATACCAGGAGGCAAATAAACCGAGGAACATATTTGTGAATGGTATATTCAATTTATTTGCCTCATCGCCAAATGGCGCACTCCAAAATTTTAAAGGAAATAATGTCCAATTTCAAGTTAATTTTGTTATTTACCTGATTTTTTGTTATCACTATGCAATTTGCTTACTAAGAACAAATGCAATCCACATAATATAATGTAAACAAAAAATACAGGAAAATTATACTTCTGTTAGAGCTTATCTGTAATTTAAGGCAATGAACATGACCATGATGTCAAACAGTGAGGTTCTTCAAAACACTGTACAAAATGTTAAAAAATGAAAAAAGCAACTAAAATATCATCCCATCCTTTTGCTTCATATCAGACAATTCCACACAAATTCTTTACTGTACACACCAGTCTTTCCCACACTGTAGAACACATCTTAATAGAGAGGTCTGCAGTGGAGACTACCCAATCTTCCATAAGCAAATAAACTCCTAGTGCTACTGTAATATCTAAATAGGAGAAAGGTCTTTGTAGCAATTTTATTTTTAAAGCTGCAAATTGGGGCAGAAGTCACTCTCTGCGATGAGCTTGTAAGGAACAATCTTCTTCTAGATTTCATGCAGCTTATTTTGCCGGACTTTAAACATGACTGGCTTTAACCACAACAGATATAAACCATACGCTTTAATATGCTGGTCATTTGGTCTCTGAATTCTAATTTAATTATGAAAAAACATGTTAAACACCCAGTAGCCTCCTACAATTATGAATATAATTTTGTTTTTAAAAATCTCATTCTTGAGCAGACATATGGCTGTTCTCCATTGTCAGCTATTTCCTATACTTGACTTATGCAACAGCTGTTCCCACTGCCATGTACTTCATAGGGGTTTACTAAAAACTGAAAGGTTTTTTATCCCCTACATTTTTAAGATATACAAAGTGCTGTGCAGACTTAGACGACTGTGCTTGGTTTTAAAAAATACTAAAAAAATAAGAAGTAGAACAACAGAATTAAGAGAGAAATTCTAAAACATTAGCAAAGCAACTGGTGAAAACGGGCATATGCAGTAAACTATACCCCCACCAGCTTTATAAGAAAGTTTTTTCTTTCCACATATTTCTAAAGGAAAGAGCCTTCTCCCTCTCGTTAAGACTTTTTTGAGTGCTGATTCCCAATATTTCTGTAGTAAACGATGCTGCTGTCTAATTTTTCTCCCCATCCATCCTCTCCTGGTTCTTTGCTTTCTTTTACATCACTTCTATTTTTACTGCCTCATAGTGGGATTTGTGATAATACTTTCTCCTCACTCCCACAAGGTATCACTAATTTCTCACTATCCAGTGCTGTCAGCTTTGGCAGCACCAGTTAGCATAAGTTACACTGTAAGGCCTCACCGCTAATGATAGCGGACAACATAGACTGGGAATTGCTGCCTTTCCATTTGTCCAAACTAGCATTAAGATGCCATTGAGGTAACAAGGGTAAAGCATCCAGGTCAGAGGGAGATACGTGCAGATCAATGTAGAAGATTGCAGAAAAAAGAACGGTGCATGCAAAACGTGCATTTAGAGCAGAATTTCCTAAGGATAAATTGTTATCCAAAAAATTCTTTAGTTTAACAAATACTGATTGGCTCTGATGCCCATTCCTAGCATGGCATGTCTGAAAATTTAATCAGTAAAAGATTTTTTAATATGCAGCAGACTGATATACCTGTATTATATAAACTTTAGTCAACAATCACCTTTAAATAAAGTACAAATCAAATCTGGCCAAGAATTTTTTTTGCCTAATCCTTAAAAATGTCTAGGATTTAAACAGAAAATGTTTGTTTCTTTACAGAAAAGACATTGGTTATACTACTAGGCTCATAGGTAAAGTCCATTTTGTAGCAATGTGTAATGTAAGTTACAGCACATTCTAAAAGTGTTTGGTGCAGTCTGAGGCTTCCTTTTTT